AGGTCCCTTTGGAGCTGTTTCCCGGCATTGGTGGGCAGGCCTGATGCTGCTGCGGGTTCCCGTTACAGATGCTGTGCGCTGAGCTGGGGCCCAGGGAGCTGAATTCTAGCCCAGAGCCATCTGTGCAGAAAGCAAGAAAGGTCACCTTTGAAGCATCGGGCACATCAATGTTTATGCCCCATAGGCCCTCAAATGGCTTTAAATAATCAATAAGGCTTTTGAAAACTGAAATAACAAAGGCAGTATCCCACTCATATTTTTTTTCCAGTCTTTTAAAAGTCACACCGGGTTTATTGAGATGAGTGTGGAGATTCATTGTTGAGTTGTAGCATCCTTAATTCATGCTGCTGTTGCAAGCTGTTTGATCTTTTTAATTGACAGCCAGTGTCTCTGTTTTCTAGTTTTCTCTGGTTTCCTTCAAGGCGTCCTTATTTGGGGGTTGAGGTGGAGAACGGAGCTGGCAAACATTCGCGCTGCTTTAGTTTTGGTCGAGTCGCTAACCAGCAGTCTTGCTTCAAATGAAGACTTTTGCTACAAACCTCTCTTGCTAGACGATAGCCCTGATACTTTGCAGATAAAATGGTCTGCCTCCCTGTCTATAACAGGAATGGTATATTCATGGTTGACTTGGAAAATAGATAAATTCTTGCCTTGACCTTCCTGGTATGAGCATTAGAACCTGTTACTCAAGTCGATTAGCTGTTTAAGATGATGCCCCTGCCTCGAGGGGTTTGTAATCTGTACAAATGCCGAAGGGTATTCTGTCCCTCTCAGCTGGGACAAAAGCAAAATACATTCAATGACCAAAGAGAACTGTCCCATGGAGTCCTGATTTCCACATGTTTGAAAGGAGATTATATCCAATACTGGCCAACAAGTCACTTTGAACAATAAAGTGCAAATTGGGTCTCACTACTTAAACTATGGCCTCCGTATGCTCAACTAGGAGGTTGTGGAGAAGCCTCACCAGCCACCTGCCCATTAAGATAAAGTGACTCAGACTCAAGGGCATCTGTGAGGTTTTATTTCTAAATTAAACAATACAGGCTGAGTTGTGGGGGCCAGATTATTTAAAGGACATTGCAAATTATAAACATGAAAACATATTTCAGATTTCTGTTTTATGATGGGCCCACAGGTATTCATTCTATTTTGTTTATATGTGCGCGCGCACACACACACACACACACACACACACACACACACACCGTTTATATGTGCGCGCGCGCGCGCGCGCGCACACACACACACACACACACACACACACACACACACACTTACAGAGAAAGAAGGAAAGAGAGGCTCTGGAGGTAGAGGTACCTGCCCAGGTACACAGGTAGAAGACCCAGGCAGGTCCAGGTCCCATGCTGCAGCAGAGTGCAGCAATCTCTGTCCATAAGTGGACAGACAGTAAACACTGTAGGGTTTAGGTCATAAAGTATCACAACTGCTCAGCCCTGCCAGGGCATCATGGAACCCGCCAAAAGCATCATGTAAACATATGAGTTGACCACATGCCATTAAAACTTTATTTAGGGACAGTGACAATGAAATTCATATAAATGTTATGGGCTATGAAATATTATTTAGTTTTTTTCAGAATATTTTTTAAAAATGCAGAAGGGTTATTCTTGCTCAGAAGCCATACAAATCAGGCAACTGGCTGAATTTAGCTGTGGGGAGAGTAGATTTCATGGACAATTCTGACATATGTACTCTCCTTGTTGTCACACTCACACCATTCTCAGCTCACATATTATCACCACTGTAACTACCCTCTACTGCCCCTTTATTTTTAATTTCATTTTCTATTATAAAGAAAGCATGATACAGCTATGAGTAAACTATTTTTCTCTCCCTACCCACACTGTACTACATTTTCTAACAACTTAATGGATCTTCACTATGTAGCAAATGCTGAAAAAGTCAGAACTCAAGACATAAACCTTTGTCAAGTCTCACAAAGTTTCCTGATTTACGCTTTGGTTGCTCCACCAATAGTGAAACAGGACTGGACACTCGACATTAACTTTCCTCTGGATCCCAAACCAGGGGCTTACCCATTACATTGTACCTTTCTGTAGATGCCAAAAATGGTTCCAATGGACACAAGGCAATCGATGTTGGAGGATCCATCAAGGGGGTCAAAACAGACCACATATTTACCCTGGACAACAACAAAAAAGGAAATAAAACTTTACTTTAAAAATAAACACATTATAACAAAATAGAAAGTATACACTAAGGGGATTTAAAAAAAGGGGAATCTAGGGGAAAGTTCAAGAAATGTGAGTCTTATTTATACTCTGTCATGGAAGCTATGAGTGGCATGCAAAATGAAAACAACAATGAATATACATAATCATATGACTGTTATTGTACCAAAACATCATTAGGCAGAGAAAACACAACTTAGAATAGAAGGTGCAGATGAAGGTAATGGAATATAGATAAATAAGTCTTAATTTCCTACATCGTTGATACAGCTGAATCAGAATTTTGGCTTGAGTTTCCTGGCAGCCAAAGGAAGAAGAGAAACAAGGTCATTTATTTCTTTTCACTCATTAGGGATGTATACATAATTCCTTAAGTGAAGCTAACACAACATTCAAGTCTTTAAGAACCTCCTAGTGCAGGTCTTATAGATGACATTTGGGTTGCAGTGCACAGAGTTCTCATGGATATCCCAACTGCAATTCTGTTGTAGAGGGACTACCACAGGTTTGGTCTTTGAATGGGGTAGTCATTTATTTCTTTTCATTCATTAGGGATGTATACATAATTCCTTAAGTGAAGCTAACACAACATTCAAGTCTTTAAGAACCTCCTAGTGCAGGTCTTATAGATGACATTTGGGTTGCAGTGCACAGAGTTCTCATGGATATCCCAACTGCAATTCTGTTGTAGAGGGACTACCACAGGTTTGGTCTTTGAATGGGGCTGTCAGGTTTCTGGCCTCAAGGGTGAGCTGTGCACATCTCTTCCCAACTCTGCCTTCAGTGATGTCATGTTGGTAGTTTGAAATCAACTATGGGGGAGTATTTACGAAGTTGGTATTGGCAATTACTACAAATCAGAGACTTTTCCAAAACAGAACCAGTTTATCAACACACCATAGGAGATTTTCCATATCCAGATTAGCTACTTTAAGAGGTGGTTTTTAAGTTCTGCATCAAATTAAGACAATTCTCTGATTCCCTGACCACTTGCTCTTAAATCACCCTGGCTGATGCAGGAGAAACTGTCATCTGGAAAACAGGAACATGCCTGTTAGAAAAGCACATTGTAGTCAGAGAAGCTGGCCAACTGGTAGAGAACATTGAACAACAAATTCAATCCACATGCCTGAAACTGCCAAGTACCTTGAGAAGACCAACAGAGAACAACATGAACTTTGAATCTGACATGTAATATATTTTAGGAATAATGTAAAACAAATTAATCGGACATAGCTCCCTACACTCTTCAAAATGTCAAGACCAGGCGTCAGGTAGCCTCTGTAAGTTCATCTTCTGATTGCTTTTTTCTAATTCTACTCCTTCATGTCCCGATTCATCTCAAACAGGGAAAGACAGCAAGCCCATAGAACTGCACTTCTCATTTCAAGTCTTTTTTTAAATTATCATATAATTGTTTTGTTCTATAAAAGTTGGATATACTCTTTCCATTCCCTTTTGCAACAATAACTTAGTATTGAACCCCTACAATGGGCCAGGAGTTATGCTAGATGCTGGGATACAGAGAAGAATATAATTCATTTCCTCCCTCAAGAAACAATTAGATTAATAGGATTTCAAACCACAAATCAGTGACAGGAATTGGGAGCAGTTTACATTGGCAGAAGAATTGAAGTGTGAGGGCAGGAATTTGGTGGATGAAGATGAAGCAAAAGAAGTTGTTAACAGTTGCCAGACGTTGAAGAGCCTTGAACATGACCATGAAAAGTTAGGAGTGGAGATGAGTATGAGTATATATGAGTCTCTCCCATGTATGGGTCCACTGGAGGATAGATAATGGCGTGGACTATGGTGGTAGAGTGGACAGGTGGGGACAGTTTGAGAGATGGTAGTGAGGATGAATCTGTGAAATGATGACTCATGGTTCAGGAGGAATCTAGGGTGATTCCTAGGAATCCAGCGTGGCTGAGCAATTGGAGTCATTTTTGAAGCGAGATAGAAAAATGGTTACATCAAAACCCTGGATGGTGGAAGTTCAGACCCACCCTTTTCTCAGGTTCTATAATTATGGCGTGTTTATCTTCTTCCGACACCAGGACACAGGTCGCAAAGGACGCCCGCAACACGTTAACGACCATGTCATTGGAGAGGACGTCCAGCTTCTTCACTTGGTCACCCGTCACGTTGGTAGAGCCAGCGATGCCATAGCTGGAGGGGAGAAAAGCCACGAAAATACAAGCCATGACCACCAGAACATGTAAATGCATGTCAACCCACCGAACGTGGCATGTAGTAGGATTTAGAAGAAAGAAAAGAAGGCGCCTGGTTTAGAAGAACAAGAAGCATGGTTGTCCCTGCACATGGACTCCTGGAGGGGAGGGAATATCGTCACCCACCTGTCCAGTACCTGTCATGGTACCTGGCACACCTTGTAGTGAAATCTGTTTCTCAAGCTCCCTCCCCCGCCCCCATTATGGGTTCTAAAGAAGCTTTTTAGATTTTTTTTCTCTAAACACACTCCCCCATGAAATATTAATTTTAATAGTAAAAGATATGGTACATATCTGTGTAGGCACTGTCTGCATAGCTATGTTTTCTACACAAAAAGATTGATTTTTCGCCTCCCCCAGGCTGGTTTTTACCCCCGAATGTACGGCCGATGCTTAATGATAGCAAGCAGGGAAACCTTCTGGGTGGGAGAGGTCCTGAGATGTGAATGAAGCCCAGGGTGTCCATGGTTTTATAGCTGAAAACATCCTAAAAGAAAAGATACTGACTGGTCCCACCTCGTGTCCTAGAGGCAGGCGGAAGCCACCAGAGACAGCAGAGGGCTTGTCCAAGCCGGAGCAGCAGAGCAGAGGAGGCAAGCCCACGGGGACCCCCAGGCCAGGCTCTCTCAGTGGCACCCCACTGCCACTGGCAGGAGTCCTAAGGGCTGGGGCGGGGGGTGAGGGCTGGAAAGTCTGCAGTTTCTACCTTATTTTCAAGGTACCTGCAGTCAGTAATTGTGGAATTCCCAGAATCCCAGTGGCTTGTCCAAAATGCAGCCTCGTTTGCTAGGAAAGACAGGAGGGAGTTGATAGCCTGGGATTGGATAGGAACACTGAAAGGAGGGGAAATGTTCTAAAGGAAGGGTGCACAGAACAAGAAAAGAGGCTGGATGTGGGACAGAAGAGTAGGCGCGTGGAACGTACCTCTAATGACTGGGAGCAGGAGCCCAGGGCACAGCTGCACCTTGGTCAGAGTTCTGGGAGCACTCACCTGGGAACGGACTGTCCCGGCACCCGCCACCTCAGCTCCCAAAAATGCACTTGTCTAAGCATAACTTGCATGTCCGGCTGGACAAATCTGAACCAACACCAGACATTGTCCAAACCCTAGCGTCTCATCTGGCCCAACTCTCCGGGAGGTAACTACAGGGATCTCATCACCCCACTGCCCAGTGTTTCCTAGAGACACCGGCTATAGCTGCAAGTCATGGGTCCTTCAGTCTTTAACCCACGAAATGAGATGGGATGGACAGAGAAGCAGGAGGAGGGCTGACGGATGAGACGCTGTTTTTCCAGGCTGGCAAGGATGATGCCGTGTCCCTGAGCTTTCTGTTCTCATTCCACACAATCTCTGTCTCACCCTCACTGTAGGCCAACGCTGGTGGAGAAAGAAGGCAGCCAAATTCTGGGAGGAGCTGGAAGCGTGGCAGGGCCCACCCACTGAGATACATCCCCCTCACTGGCCTACTGGCACCAAGCAGCTCTCCTTCCTCGCCAGACGTTTCCACGGGTACAGTCACTGTGATTCCGGATGGCCAGCGCTGATGGAGAGAACATGGGCATCATGATGGAGACCTGGCTCCCCCAGCTCTGGAGCCCTCGCCTCGCTGAGCCTCCTGTTTGCTTTGCCCATGGAAGCCACGCTCCCTCAGGGAGGTGTTAGAGGACCACAGGCGGTAACATACATGAGGCGCCTAATGTTCTTCCCTGAGCTTGCTCTCTACAGGGGGCTCTCATTAGGGCTGTAGATGCTGGGAGAGGAATGTGGTCTCGGTGATGCCCAATGCCCGGGGCTTCATCCACATCACGCTGGCAGGGTTGCTTGTCCTTTCCTTCCAGAAGGATGAGGACAGAGGGCATGTTTCTTCCCAATGTCCCAGCTTCCAGTGCCTAGTAGGCCCTCAATAAATACCTGCTGGCCCTGGCCGCGTGGCTCAGTTCATTAGAGTGTTGCCCCATACATCAAAAAAGGTTGTGGGTTCAATTCCCGGTCAGGGTGCATGCAGGAGGCAACCAATCAATGCTTCTCTCTAACTTCGATTTCTCTCTCTCTCTCTCTCTCTCTCTCTCAAATCAATAAAAACATATCCCTGGGTGAAGATTATAAAATAATAAGTAAAAAATAATAAGTAATACATGTATACTTGCTGACTGAATGAATGGCATTCACTGAGGAGAAGAGAAACTGCCCGAAGGAACGCATGCAAGAGTGACCAACTTCTAAGGCCATTCACACTCAGCAGTGCCGGGGAAGCCACCTGCAGGGTCCCAGGGACAGGCGCACTGGGTCAGCAGCAGGGAGGCCTGGGAGGCTGGGCAGAGGGACCGCAGGCATGGGAAGGACTGTCCACACTGGCCCGCGCTCTGCCAGCTCAGGGATCTCGCTCAGCAAGACGGGCGAAGGCCAGTCTGCTCCTAGAGTAGCTGCGTGAGTGTTCATTTGCTCCACGAGTATTTATTGGGTACCCAGTGTGCCCCAGAAACTGTCCTGAGTGCTGGGGTCTCAGTGCAGAACAACACAGATGGTATCACTGGCCTCATGAAGCTTATACTCTACTGAGACAAGAAACGAGTAATTTGGAACGAATGAGATAATGTTGGATAGTGACCAGTGCTCTAATAAAATGAAACGAGATGCCTGAGGGGCAGGGGGTGGATTGGCCCGTCAAGGAAGGTCTCGCTGCAAAGGGGCCATTTGAGCTAAATGATACCAGGCACCAAATGACCCATCACAGACAACTGGCCAGTCCTCAGGCTCTGCCTCCCTGAAAGTTATGTAGTCACCCCTCCCTTCTTTCTCTTTCACTTCCCCCAGAATTGAGGGTCCCCCCTTTGTTTTAGCCAGAAGGACCCTTCGTCAATAATTCTCCAGTTGCTTGTGAAGAAGAATATTAAAAACCATGGAGGTTGGTTATTCTGGGCCCCTCCAACTTAAAATCCAGGCACTTTATAACTGTTCTAGGACATCTCATGGGAAGTCCCTGGTAAAACGTGGTGTTGGGGGTCTTGGAGAAAGCACGGGCAAGCGATTCTAAGGTAGAAACAGAGTTGGGCTCCGCCTCCCTGAAGGTTATATAGTCACCCCTCCCTTCCTTCTCTTTAACTTCCCCCAGAATTGAGGGTCCCCCCCTTTGTTTTAGCCAGAAGGACCCTTCTTCAATTATTCTCCAGTTGCTTGTGAAGAAGAATATTAAAAACCATGGAGGTTGGTTATTCTGGGCCCCTCCAACTTAAAATCCAGGCACTTTATAACTGTTCTAGGACATCTCATGGGAAGTCCCTGGTAAAACGTGGTGTTGGGGGTCTTGGAGAAAGCACGGGCAAGCGATTCTAAGGTAGAAACAGAGTTCAGGAGCATGGGCTCCCAGACTGCGTGTCGGCAGCAAGAATATCAGCATTTATACACATTGCCAGGTAGTCTTCCATCCGGGTCTCAGCTCACAGGGTTGGCTGTGGCTGGCGCTTCACACACAGCCCTGCACTGCTGCTCAGGCACGACCAGGTCCTGGGCTCTCCCCACCCGCCTCAAGGGGCCCTCAGGGGGCAGCAAGGTGTTGCCACAGGTCAGTGAAAGGTCAGAAGCAATCACGGTTCCGATGACTTTGACAATGGAAAAGGCCCTCAGAAATATCCTCACAGAACTAAG